TTCTGCGAGTCCCATGCCAGGGCTGCTGCCCTGGATTTCGCCCGTCGTTTTCGCCTCTACCTGGCCTCCCACCCCCAGTACGCAGGGCCTGGGGCAGAGGCGGCCTTCTCCCGCCGGTTTGCTGAGCTCTTCCTGCAGCACTTCGAAGCTGAGGTGGCCCGGGCCTCCGGCTCCCTCTCGCCGTCATCCGTCCAGGCCCCCCTGAGTCCTGGCCTGGAGGTCCCAACACCTCACGACCTGTCCCTTGAGAGCTGCAGGGTGGGCGGGCCCCTGGCTGTGCTGGGCCCTTCTCGATCCTCTGAGGACCTGGCCGGCCCCCTCCCGTCCTCAGTCTCTTCCGCAACAACGTCCTCGAAGCCGAAGCTCAAGAAACGCTTTTCCCTCCGCTCAGTGGGTCGCTCTGTCCGAGGTTCAGTGCGCGGCATCCTGCAGTGGCGGGGGGCCGGCGAGCCTCCATCCCCAGCCGGGGCCCTGGAGACCTCATCAGGTCCCCCAGTCCTGGGTGGAAACAGCAACTCCAACTCCTCAGGCGGGGCTGGGACTCTGGGTAGGGGACTGGTCAGCGACGGCCCGTCCCCTGGGGAGAGGTGGACTCACCGCTTTGAGAGGCTGAGACTAAGTCGGGGTGGGGGGACCTTGAAGGACGGATCAGGGATGGTGCAGAGGGAGGAGCTGCTGAGTTTTATGGGGGCCGAAGAGGCTGCCCCTGATCCAGCTGGAGTGGGCCGGGGAGGAGGGGCAGCCGGTGGGGGAGGCCAGCCTCAGTGGCAGAAGTGTCGCTTACTGCTGCGAAGTGAAGGAGAAGGAGGAGGAAGCCGCCTGGAGTTCTTTGTGCCGCCCAAGGTAAGGCCCGGAGGAGGGTGTGGGCTGGGAGTTGGTGGACTGGCCGAGTAGTGACAAACTGCAGGCCAGCCTGGGGTTACCAACCACAGTGTGCCTGCCTGGCTTTGCTTTGGGGCCTGGCCCTGGGTTCTTGAATTAGCTGTGGGTGGGACCAAGAACAGCGTGACCGCCTCTGCCAACTCCTCTGGGACCGAAGGCGCCGCACCGAGGTTGAGGGGAGGAGAGAGGCGTCTGGGCCCCAGCAGACCAAAGCTCGCTCCTGCTCTCACCTAGGCATCCCGGCCCCGGCTCAGCATTCCCTGCTGTACTATCACGGATGTTCGGATGACCACAGCCCTGGAGATGCCAGACCGGGAGAACACGTTCGTGGTTAAGGTAGGAGCTCTGAGCGCTCGGCACGCCGAAGCAGGAAGCAGGGCTCATGGGCAGAGGGAGGTGCCTGTGCCTGGTGCCTTGAGCATGTGTCTGCTGGCCCCTAGGTGGAAGGGCCCTCGGAGTACATCCTGGAGACAGCTGACGCTGTCCACGTGAAGGCCTGGGTGTCCAACATCCAAGAGTGCCTGAGCCCAGGGTGAGGAGCCTGCCTTCTGACCCAGGGGGCTGGGGTGGGTGGGCTGCGGCCGGGCGCCTCTCCTGGGTGACTTCCTTCCCAGCACCATTTGCTTTGTCCCTGCAGACCCTGCCCTGCTACCAGCCCCCGCCCCATGACCCTCCCTCTGGCCCCTGGTACCTCCTTCCTCACAAAGGAGAACACAGACAGCCTGGAGCCACCCTGCCTGAATCACTCAGAGAGTCTGCCCAGCCAGGACCTGCTGCTGGGGCCCAGCGAGAGCAACGACCGCCTGTCACAGGGTAAGGGGTGACCAGAGCTCCCTGCTGGAGGCTCCTGCGTCGGGTCCCTGCTCTGTTCTTGCTGCTTGTCTTATGTCTGGATGTGCCAGGCACTTGGACCACTGTTTGCCTTTTACATTTATTTACTTATTTAATTTTGCCAAGCTGGGGTTGAACCCAGAGGCTCACACACCTGGGTGGGCACCTTAGCACTGAGCCACACTGTCAGTCCCAGTTCACCAGCCCCAGGCGAACTCCTGTTCAGCCATCTTGCCTGGCCTTGTTGCTTTTCTGTAGTGTCACACAGGCCGCCACTCTGGCTAGAGGTAGTGGCTCTCTTCTCCAAGCTCCCAGAACTCTGGAGATGGCTTCCTTTGTTCTTACTGTGTCTCTGCACACATCAAGGGCATCACACTTTCTTTTGCCAAATTTGTACTTTTTTCAGCTGAGCACGTCACACGTGAGTGTCGTGTCCCCCCCACCCCCATCAGCCTCCACTCTGCCCTCTCCTCCTGGGCTGAGTTTCATCCTCCCAGGGCCCAGCATGCAGCCCAGCACACAGACCATACACAGTGGGCGGACACACAGAGCTAGAGCGGTGCTCACACATCGGAAGGTTTCAGGCAGCCAGAACGGGGAGAGGAGGTCCCTGAAGCACTGAGAATTGGGCTGTGCCATCCTCTTCCTGAGCTGCTCCTTTCACTCATGCGGCCCTGTATGCCACCTGTGCCCAGCACATGAGCAGGCACCCGTGTGTCACTGGCCCTGAGCGGGGCCTGGGGTGGGCAGTCCTGCTTGGTTAGCAGGACATCATTCCCACAAAACACCAGTTCTAGGGGCAGCCCGTGCTTGGTGCCCTCTGAGCAGCTCAGGCAGAGGAGATCAGGGGTGTGGGACAGAGCACTGCAGAGGAGGGAAGAGGAAAGAATGTGGTGGAAGGCGGCAAAAGGCCAGCACAGTACCTGAGGTGCAGAGGACGCAGGCTCCTTGGAAAAAATGGATAAGATAAATGAGCCAGAGGAAAAAATATGTGGGTACAAGTTAAGGTAAAGGTCATGTTGGTTTAGGGGGGATTAATCAGAGGGTTTGTGTTTTTTGGTTGCCTCTTAGAGTTGAAAGCTTTTAAACCAGGTATGGCAGCTGGGTGTGGTGGCGCACTCCTGTAATCCCAGCATTTGGGAGGCTGAGGCAGGAGGATCGCTGCGAGTTTGAGACCAGCCTGGGCTACATAGTTTCAGATCAGTCTCAACTCATAGTGAGAGCCTGTCTAAAAAAATAAAAATAAGGAGAATCGCTAAGGAATAAGGGCTAGTGAATTCAAGGTTAGCCTGAACTACATAGTGAGATCTTGTCTCAAAAACAAGCAAACAAACAAAAGAAAGTTAGGAGCTGTGTCCTGTACTCCCAACAAAAGTCAGTCTCTCACTTTTTTTTATGTGGAGGTACTGAAGGTGGAACCAGGGCATTGGCCCTGATCTGCATCCCTAGTCCTTTGTCGTGTGGGCACTCCCACACACCTGGGATCCAACTCAGGACCTTATGCTTTCTAGGCAGGCGGCTGTGCCACTGAGCTACATCCCCTGCCCTCTCCTTTGTATTTTTTGTTGTTTTTGTTTTTTTGGTACCAGGGATCGAATTCAGGACCTTGCACTTGTGAGGCAGGAGGTGGCACCACTGAGCTAAATCCCTGCTTCTTTGTATTCTTTTTTTTTTTTTTTTTTGGGACCATGGATCGAACTCAGGACCTTGCACTTGTGAGGCAGGAGGTGGGACCACTGAGCTAAAACCCTGGCTTCTTTGTATTCTTTTTTTTTTTTTTTTTGGTACCAGGGATTGGACTCAGGTCCTTGTACTTGCAAGGCAGGCCACCGAACCACTGAACTAAATCCCCGGCCCCTCTTTGTATTTTTTGAGACAAGAGTTTCTCACCAAGTTGCCCAGGCTAGGCTCAAATGTGGGACCCCCGTGTTTCAGCCTCTTGAGTAGCTGGGGTTATGGAGATATGCTATTGCTACTGACTTGGGCTCTTTTTTTGTCTTTTTGAGACAGGGTTTTGCTGTACAGTTCAGGCTGGCCTCAAACTCATAGTAATTCTCCTGCCTCAGCCTCCTGAGTGCTGGGATTATAGGCGTGCACCACCATGCCCAGCTTTACTTGGATTTTTTTTTTTTTTATAACAGGGATAAAACTCACAACCTTGAAGGTACAGAATCCCAATGATGAATGTAATTGTATTGTATACCTAGATTGTACCAATAAACTCAATAAAAAGAAAAAAAACTCACAACCTTGCACTTGCAAGGCAAGGTGCAGTGCCACTGAGCTAAGTCTCTGGTCCTACTCCGATTTTTTTTGGGGGGGTGTTTGAGACAGGGTCTCACTACATAGTTGAGACTGACCTGAACTCACTATGTCTATATAGCTTAGGCTGGTCTCGAACTTACTCCTGCCTGAGCCTCCCGAGGGCTGGGATTACAGGTGTATACCACCATGCCCGACTCTACTTGGATTTTTTAAATGTGAGAATAACTCTTTACCTCTGTAACAGTTTTTCATTTGATTTCTAAAAGACACAGGTACATTTGGATTCTGATGTGCAGTAACCACAGTGTAAGAAGTGTCCTTGTGGCCTTCCTGTCAGATCACTGTCCTGGTTGGCCATGCAGGTGGACTTTTGACATGGAGGCAGGCAAGTGGCCAGGGCCTTGGGTGAGGAACTCGGGATTCAGCCTTGCTCTCTGTTCTTCCAGGGGCGTATGGGGGCCTGTCCGAGCGGCCCTCCGCATCCATCTCCCCCAGCTCAGCCTCCATCGCAGCCTCCCACTTCGACTCAATGGAACTGCTCCCTCCAGAGCTGCCCCCCCGCATCCCCATTGAGGAGGGCCCCCCGGCAGGGACCGCTCATCCTCTCTCGACCCCCTATCCTCCTCTGGACACCCCGGAGACAGCCACAGGTACCAGCATCGTGTGCATCTGTGCCTCTGTCTCCTGACCTGAGGCTCCCGAGGGCCGGACTCGGGAGGGAGGGAGATGGGATCCACAGAGGTACCTGGCGTGGGAGAGCAAGGCTTTTCTCCTAGGGCCTGCCCAGCCTCCCTGATATCTGGTCTCCCTCCCTCTCTCCTTCCTGAAGGATCCTTCCTGTTCCAGGAGTCGGAGGGAGGGGAGGGGGACCAGCCCCTCTCGGGGTACCCGTGGTTCCACGGCATGCTCTCGCGACTCAAGGCCGCCCAGTTAGTGCTGGAAGGAGGCGCCAGCTCCCACGGGGTCTTCCTGGTTCGGCAGAGCGAGACGAGGCGGGGCGAATATGTCCTCACTTTCAATTTCCAGGGCAAGGCCAAGGTGAGTGAGCCTGTGGGTGTAGAGGGCGGGCGGGCGGCCTCCAGGAGCGGCTGTGCGAGGCGGGCCAGGCCCTCGCCTCACTGCTCATTCCACCCTCAGCACCTGCGCTTGTCGCTGAACGAGGAGGGTCAGTGCCGGGTCCAGCACCTGTGGTTCCAGTCCATTTTCGATATGCTTGAGCATTTCCGGGTGCACCCCATCCCGCTGGAGTCTGGAGGCTCCAGTGACGTTGTCCTTGTCAGCTATGTGCCCTCCCAGCGGCAGCAGGGTGAGCAGAGCAGGTCTGCAGGGGAGGTGCCCGTGCACCCGAGAAGTGAGGTTTGTGTGCCAGGAAGACGGGTGGCTTGGGGTGTGTGGGGCAGCCCAGGCCCCTCTGCTGAGGGGTCTGTACCCGGGGCTACATGGGGCTGAGAGGGCTGCTAGGACAAAGGCAGGCAGAGGCTCCTTGCGGGCCGGGGGACAGAGGAGAGCTGGGCTGATGCATCCCCATTCCATTGGCTCTGTCCGTCCGTCTGTCTGTCCGTGCCATTGTCTGTGTGTCCTGCTCCACCCTCCGGCTTGTCTCTGCTTTTCATCACTGCCTTGCCTTGGGCCCACCCTTCTGGGGGATGCTCGGTCTGCCCCCACGTCTGATGTCCCTGTCTGATCTCTCCCTCTCCCCGCCCAACACCCCACCTGTCCCCACGTTGCCCCCCCCAGGCCGGGAGCAGGCCGGGAGCCATGCAGGGGTGTGTGAGGGAGACCGATGCTACCCCGATGCCTCCTCCACCCTCATGCCCTTCGGAGCGAGTGACTGTGTGTAAGTGTGGTCCTCCTCACTGCGCCCATGATCCATCCTCCATGGGGGCTGCGCAGGAGATGGCCATGGGGAGACAGCATATGGCTGGGGCAAGCAAAGGGGAAGCCACCAGAGCCTGCTCCCTCCACCCTCAGGCTGTTGTCTTCCCCTTCCTGTCCAGAATCGAACACCTCCCATGACCCGCCCCAGCCCCCTGCACCCCCTTCATGGACAGATCCCCCACATCCTGGGGCAGAAGAGGCGTCGGGGGCACCAGAAGTGGCGGCAGCCGCAGCCGCAGCAGCCAAAGAGAGGCAAGAGAAAGAGAAAGCGGGCAGTGGAGGGGTCCCGGAAGAGCTGGTCCCCGTGGCTGAGCTGGTCCCCGTGGTTGAATTGGAAGAGGCCATAGCTCCAGGCACAGAGGCCCAGGATGGCGCTGGCTCTGGTGGGGACACCGGGGTGGCCCCAATGGTACAGCTCCAGCAGTTACCACTAGGGGGAAACGGAGAAGGGGGCCACCCCAGAGCCATTAATAACCAGTACTCCTTTGTGTGAGCTGCCCTTTCCCTGCTCCCCAGCCCTGGTTCTTGAGATGGGGCGGAGGGGAGACAGAGGAGAGGCAGGAGCCCCCCCACGCCTTCTGGGCCCTTGACCGCCAAGGGCATATACAGCGTGTTGGTACAAGCAGCGGTTCCAGGCCCCTGAACTCCCTGGTTCGTACACTACAGGTGCCCCTTCCCTAGGCAGGGGATTTGGGCTCCATTACCTCCCTGAGGGGCTCTCCAGCCAGCCCCACCTCTGGGGGTCATTTCCCCCAAACCACCCCACTCACCCAAGCAAGGGCGAGGGGGAAGGGCTGTCAGTTACATTAAGGTTGTTGTTGTTGTTGTTTTAAACAAAATGGAGAAGCATAAATAAATAAAGGGGTTTATCTCAGTTTCGGGGTGATGGCTGTGGTTGTGCTTGCAGGGGGCCTGGGTGGGCCGGTCCATGTGGTCAGGCCAGCATCCCAGGGCCTGTCTGGCTCCCTGACTGAAAAGTGGGGTTCAACAGTGCTTCCTGAGGGCTCTGCAGTTTCTCTTAGCTGACTGGACAGCAGCGGGACTGATGACTCCTGGGTATTCTTCCCACTAGGGAGAAAGGCAGAGACGGTTGAGGGAGCCATGTCTTGTTTTGGGATTTGATGTGGTGGTCAGACTGGCTGTCCCCCTTCCTCAGAGCCAGGCTGGAGACTGGATGTCAGCACTGATTTCTAGGCCTGGCTTTGCCTATTACTTATTCTATGTGAGCTGGGGATGAGGTGTGGCCAGTTTGGTCTTAGTGTCTTCCTTTTATGTAAAGTGGCAAGTTTCTCTTAGAGCTGCAGAATTATCAGCTTGGCTTGGACACTGCTTCCTTTTCAGTTTCATGTAAATGTTCAGTCCAGGTTACTGCGCCACTTGAAAGCCAGATGAGCAGCTGCAGGTGTCTAGCATCCCCCCTACCCACCGTGAACCCAGTCTGCTCTACCGGGCCATCTGCCCATACCTGGGCCAGGCCCTCCTCCCTGAGCGCAGCCCTGGTCCCCAGCTCTGGGCTCGTGGGTGCCAGCAGATGGCCAGGGTCTGGAGTCCCCTGGTGTGCTCAGCCCTTGCCCTCCCACCCCTGCCCCTCAGCCTCTGCCCATGCGCATGACCTTGCTATTCTGGGCCTTGTGTCCTGTGGGGAGATGGACAGGAGACAGCTGGGCGCACAGGCCACCCAAGCTGGGGGCTGGCCGAGGGAAGCCTGTTGGCTCTCCCTGTCTTGTCTTATCCCTGGGGCTCCCTCAAAACTTGGCCTTGGGAACCTGGGGATGGAATCAGCCTGTAGAGGGGGATGGTGCTTTGGAGACCTGGGTACTGTGTTCTCAAAGGGAGGTGGGCAGCAGGGGCCGTGGCGCCCAGGGAAGGCAGGGCTTGATCCTCTCCTAATCTAGTGGCAGCTGGTGCTAAGGCTCCCCCTTCCCCCAAATCCTGCCGGCCTCCAGAGCTGGGGAGGGGACTGGACGAGGACACCCGGCCCTCCCTGGACTGGCTTGTCTGCTGGAGACCCGGACAGTTTCCCTCCACACGTCTGTTCACTGATCGTTAAACCGAAGTTAGGAACTGGTCAGCCACAGCCAGGCTCTGCCTACCTGTGCTTTACAGCTGGGACTCCAGTCCATAGCCCTGGTGAGACCCCAGGGTCCTAGGGAGCACCTGCCCTGCCTCTGCGGTGAGAGCCTCCTCTGCCCCCTTCCTTGTCTGTCTCTCTGGGAAGCAGGAGGCGGCAGAAGTGAGCAACCTCAGAGGCCCTGCTGGCAGGCAGCCTGGTAGAGCTGCCTCCTTCCCCTGCTCCATGCTCAGCTCCCTGAAGCTGCCCAGCTGTGTCTCCCTCCATGTTTGGGCATTCCTGCTGCTGGAAGACGGAGGCCTTGTCACTCCTCCAGGTGCCAGGGGGAGAAGCCAGCCGGCGCCAAAGGCTGAGGGTGCTGAGCCTGACGCTGGCCAGGGGAGGCACCTGCTTATGTGACCCCCCGACACCCCATTGTCTGCGCCCCCCCACCCCGGGTCACAGCAGGACTCTGCTTCAGGGGAGGGGCTGTCAGAGCTGTGAAAAGGGGGAGGGAAGGAACACCTTGTCCTGAGCTCACCCAGGCTGTCCCTCACCCAAGTCCAGGCAGAAGGTGCATCTGGGAGGCCAAGTCCTCCAGCTCTGTCCCCTCCCCAGAGCTGGGCTCTGCTGACCAGCCTGTGTCAGCTCTGGTGCTGCTCTCTGCCTGGGGCTGGAGCCCTCTCAGGCCAGCACAATGGCGTGCACCTCTGGTCCTAGCTACTTGGAGGCAGAGGTACGGTGATGGCAAGTTTGAGCGCAGCTTGGGTGATGTAACAAAACTTAGTGTCAGGCCAGGGATTCAGCTCAATGGTTCCACTACCTGTCTCGTAAGCACAAGGACACAAGTTCGATCCTTGGTACGGTGGTGGTGGTGGGGCGTAGATAAAATAAAATACAAAACGCTGAGGATGTAGCTCAGTGCTCCCAGGGTTCAATCTCTAATACTGCCAAATAGTTAATTGAGAGAAAGGGGTGGGGGAGAAAAGAGAAGAGAAGGAAAGGGAAAAAGAAGGGACTAGAGCTAGGCATGGTGGCAGAGTCCTGTCATCCCAGCACTCTAGGAAGCGGAGACAGAAGGACTGCAAGTTCTAGCAATTCAGTGACTATTTCAAGATTAAAAATGATCCAGGCATGGTGGTGCACACCTGTAACTCCTAGCAAGAAAATTACTGAGTTTGACTACATGAGTTCAAGTCCAGCCTGACCTACATAGCCAGATCCTTTCTCAGAAAATAAAAAGGAATTGGGGAAGCAGCTCAATGCAAAGGCCCCGGATTCAAGTCCCAGCACTGCACACACAGTCAAAACAAAAAAAATAAATGTTCAAAACAAAAGTTTTTTAACTGAGGCTGGGTGTGGTGCTTCACGCCTGTAATCCCAGCACTTGGGAGGCTGAGGCAGGAGGATCACCAGACAGCCTGAGCTACAAAGCCAGACCCTGTCTCAAAAAAAAAAAAATAAATAAATAAATAAAAATTTAGAGGTTGGGGATGTACCTTAGCAATGATAGAAGCCTTACCTAGTATGCGCAAGGCCCTGTGCTCAGTAGCCAGTACTGCAAAAATAACCTTCTCAGTCTTCCCTACATCCCTGTTCCTTGTAGGAAATAGAGGAAGGACTTGAGTTCAGGGTCATAAGGCTCCTTGGCCTCACTGCCCTCTCACTGTGATGCTCAGAGCCTCTCTGCACTGCTTCCCTGCCTGCCTGCCTGCACCCCATAGTTCCCTGTCCATTCCTCCAGCAGCTGCCCATCTTACAGCAGGGTGGGGAAGGGCGTCTCAGTCTCAGAGCAGCTGCTTCTCCCAGGAAGCTGACACCAAGGCCAGCCGCTCAGAAGCAACTTGTGGCTTTGCACCCAGCCCAGGGGGACCCGCCCACCTGGCTGCCACTACCCAGCTCCCTGCCGTCCCCTTTTCCCACTGCTCCTCAGACTTTCCTGACCCCGGTGACCTGTCTCTGTGCTTGCCCTCCCCAGCTCCGTTGTGTCCTCACCTCCCCTAGACTTGTCCCCAGACCTGCTCCTCCCTACCCCTTAGGTGTGGGGCTGCTTTACGGAGCTGCCTCAGGTGGGCCTGCCCTTCCCTCCCCCACCTCCTGCAGTGGGGCACCCCAGTTCTGAGCAACCCCCCCCGGCCACCTGGTCCTCATTCTAGAGGGTGGCTGCACTGGGCCTGGAGAGTGAAGACCACACCCCTCTGGGGTCCACCACACAAACCCTGAGTGCAGCGTGAAGACATGAAATAAGGGGACCACCCATGCCTTGACTTGGGGTGACCCCCTGCCCCCATCTTGAGATAGTTATGCCCCCCCTCTGTCATCAGCACATTCTGTAGCCTCTTGGGTTACCTGGCTGCCTGGGTGTCCCATTTTCTTGGGGATTCCCTGTCAGGAATCGGGGGGCTGAAGGCTGTGTTCCCAGAGGCTGAGCTGGAGCAGTTGGAAGGGGGGCGGTTTAGGGGAAAGCCAGGCAGTCCTGGCTTTACGCACCAGGGCCTGGACACTAAATCCCTTGTTGATGGCTGCAGCAGCCCCTCCCTAGGGTAGGGTTACCACCTTCTGCCCTGTCCCCTTGACCCTCTCCCCGCCCTACTTCCCCTTGTACCTCTAGAGCCACTTCCTCTGGCCCCCAGATGTTCTCCCCACTTGGGTCCCCCAAAGGTATGGAGTATCTGTTGCTCTTCCAACGCGCTACATGAGGGAGGAGACTGTGGCGATGGAAACGGGCTCAGTGGAAAGGACATGAAGAGGGTATGAAGGGAAACACAGCCAAGGGCCCAGAGTGGAAGGGGTGTAAAGGAAGAGCCGGGGGATGAGTTTGGGATGGGAAGTTCAGCGCAATGGGGGAAGTGTGGGCATCTGGGGGAGGTGACAGAGTGTGAACTTTCTCCCTGCTCCCCCTGCCCCGCCAGGGGCTGGGGCCACTTTTGCTTCCCTCATGAGTGACATCTCAGGCTGCAGCCCCACTGTTCCCCTCTGTCAGCAGAAATATCTCTCTCTTCTGATCCCTCCTGCTGGAGTCTCAGCCAGCCAATCCCTGATCTGGAGGAGGGGGGAGCCTGACCCCCCACTCCCTCATAAGGACCAGCTGGGGGCTCGGGGGTGGCCGGCTGCTACAAGTGGGACGGGGGTCAGAGCTCTGTGAAGGGAAGAGGAACTGGGGGGGGAGGCAAGAAAAAGGGAAAGAAACCCAGACCTTCAAGCAGGTGGATACACTGAGGAAGCCCCCCACAAGTGAAAGCCCCCCCAGAAGGAACACACCGCCTCTGGCCCCCAAGAAGGGAGCACGATGGAGGCCGCACATGCCAAGACCACAGAGGAATGTCTGGCCTATTTTGGGGTGAGTGAGACCACAGGCCTCACCCCGGACCAAGTTAAGCGACACCTGGAGAAGTATGGCCCCAATGGTAAGTGTCCCTCAGAGAGACCGGTACCACGTTCCTGTGCACACACGTGGGTGTCACACATACACTCCCTCCAGGGTATCCATGGCTGCTGGAGAGGGAAGATACTGAGATCCCGAGTCTGGGGAGGTCTGGGGATGACCTTGATGAACCTGACACCCTTTTGGTCTGATTCTCTTACCTTAGCCACAAAGTCCTGGGGGTGGGGGGCACGAGGCTGAACCCCGACTGAAAATGTCCTTTTCTTCTTTTTCTCTGGGTAGAACTCCCGGCTGAGGAAGGTAAGTTACTGGAAGGCCTGGGCCCTCCCCATAAACGACCCTCCCTCCCCTGTCCTACTGTCTTCTCAGAGACCCTATACCCCTTCCCAAAGGGCAAATGTCCCTCCTCAGAGATTAGGATCCACAGGGCAGAAGTCTCAAGGCGTTGTCTCCTAGAACGGCTGCCCACAGCTCCAACGAGCCTGCCTCAGGATTCCGGGAGCTCCCCAGCGCCCCCTACCAAGCTGCCTGCCCGGCTCCCTAGGGA